TTCCAGTCTACAAATCCCCTCGAGATCGGCTCCTCATCGGGAACAGTAAGCGTCCTCACGTTCTTTTCCCCACTTAGATTGATGCACTTCCTAACTCCCCCTCTCTGTTTCAGAAGCTGCTGATCAATATGAACCAAAGCTCAGATTCCATTTCTGTTTCAAACAAACATTCAGATAATTTCATTTATACTTTGACTCCTGCTGGTGGTTTCCTGCATGTGGGCCTGAAAAATCCCCTTGATCATGACAAACATATTCTCTTGTGTCTCTTATTTTAAATAGATACTAAAAGAATAAAGCTCCTTAAATAAATGCTCATAAAAATACATTACAGTATAAAATACTGTAAGCTGATGTTGAGGCATTTGTGCATCTTTATTGGTGCCAGTTTTGGTGGAAGGGATGGTAAATCGTGAGAATGTGTCTGAAGGTTAGCAGTTGAAACCACAAAGCTTCTCACCTTTGTTTTCTCAAAGAGACACATTAACATCAAAGTGAGATGCAACCAGTTTCTCAGGGTTTGAACAGAATCAACATCTACAAAGACCAAACCACAACATGGCTGCTCTCAGTCAGCTGGTAGCAAATAAATATGCTCCAGTCACTTTGCCACAGTTTGGTACCAAGTGAAAAAAAAAAGTATATTGCTCATTGGTAAATCTTGTGAAGATAACTTGTACAACAACTGAAATCTCTGTAGAAGTACTAATAGGGTCTAATCGATGCAAAACACAGACATACAAAATCATAAACAGGACAAAAGAAGTACTTTATGGCTTAAACATCCAGAGTCTTACCAAGTATTTCATAATCGTGAGAAATCAAATATTTCATTAGCAATTTTCTTGCCATGTATAGATAATAACATTGAAACATTCTGGTTCTGCTGGATCTTTCTTCCTGTTAAAAGGGAGTTTTTCCTCTCCACTGTCGCTACAAGCATGCTTAGTGTGAGGGATTGCCTCAGAGTTTTCCTTAAATAGAAAACTTTTAATCAATTTGACTGTATGATCTGGTTTAATTGTATCTGTAAAGTGCCTTGAGATTACATGTCTTGTGAATTGGGGCTATAGAAATAAACTGAATTGAATCGGTGCTATATAAATATACTGAATCAAACTCAAATAGTGCTATAGAAATAAACTGAATTGAATTGGTGCTATATAAAATATACTGAATCGAATTAAAATGGTGCTATATAAATAAACTGAATTGAATTGAAAACATTTAGAAAAAGGGAATATCAACCTATATCTTTATGTTTATAATCTTAAACAGATTAACTTCATATTTGATACATATCCAGTCTGAGTGTTTTCAAGCCTGGATCAGTGGAATTAGAAATGGTATCAACACGACAATATGATGTAATATGACAGCAAATTCATCCTAATTAACATCACAATAGTCAGGTTTGCTGGTGTTCACAAATAAGGTTGAAGTCACTAGTCTAACAAAGTGCTATAACAGTCTGTCTGATCAGCCAGATGGCCAAATTACTCAAAGCCTAACTATTGGACAGTGAAAGTTTGATCTTTCTGGTAATGAGACAATGCTATGTTCAGAACAGTAGATTTATTCGCCACAAACAGTAGCAGAAAACCCCCAAGAGGTGAGTGGGACAGGTGCTGCTGTTTCTGGGGATTCTCAGTGACAGCGAACCGCCGGTGTACGGGGGTTTCGTGCTGGTCTGACAGCAAAATAATATTTTAAGGCAGGATCGTAATCCTGATGAACTGACTGCACAGACGATGTTTTGAGGTGGACTTTCGCACTTAAAAACATATTAAAACTACTTTTTACCCACTCATCACAGCAAATATAGCAAAGCCGCTCTCTGCCATCGAACATAGGAGCAGCAGAAGCATCAGACGCATCTGTTCACCCTTTACTGGACATGTTTACGGAGCGTCCAAGAGGCTCTTCGGGTGTGTCAGTCCTTAAAAGGTGTACAAGCATCAAAAATTAATCAGCAGGTTCTTTTTTGCGGCTTCTGTCCTGTTCGGTCTGAATGCAGCATTAGACATGGGAAGAATAGTGAAATGTTCTTCACCATTTTTTGAAAGGTAATTAGATAACAAGCACCTCATCAGCAAGCTTTAAGACTCAGGATTACCAGCTTATCAAAGGTTAAATCATCTTGTTTTACTGAACAAGGTTCCATAATGGTTGATATGAAGAAGAGTTCCCCACAGCAAAACCCTTAACCCCTCACTGTTCCCTGGGTGCCACACAATGGCAGCCCACTGCACCCCAGGGGGTGGGTCAAAATGCAGAGAGTGAATTTCCCCATTGTGTGACAATAAAGGGATTTACATTACATCAAAGGCCTACTCAGTTCACTTAAGGTCAGAGGTCATGACACATATATACATCGACAACCATCATCTGTCACTTCTTCCATCCCCTCTTGTCCATCAGGGTCTGAGGACGGTTTTGAATCAACAGTTAACCTCATAGTTATGTTTTTGAACTGCAGGAGGAAGAAGGAGTACCCAGAGATAACCCATAACCCACACATGCACAGGGAAGAACGGGCAAACTCCATATGGAAGAGCCTATGCCAAGAATTGAACCCAGAACCTTCTTGCTGCAAGGAAACAGTGCAACAAACTGCTACACTGTATAACCTTGCCCGTGTCAAATTTGCCAAAAATATCCTGATGATCCTCAATACCTCTGCAACAATAACCGGACAAGGCAAGAGGGAAGCTTTTTGCTGACTGCCACTACCTCAACGCCAGAGTGTTTGCCAGTTTTGGGAAGTCATCCTGCAAACTGGATTTTTCGGACCTTCTCTCCCTGGACGGATCAACTGAGCTTCAAACTGAGCTGTGATTCAAACAGGAGGTTTGGATCCACTTTCTCCAAGCAATCGTTTGAGCTTCACACTGAGAAAGGGATTAATCTCCACTAGGACCCGTTCAAGTTCCGCAGGAAATCTGGTTGGCAGCCAGTTTCTCCGTTCACCTACTAACAACAGCATTCTGGGTAAATCCTGTTTAGCCCTCCACCGAATCAGACAAACACTGGAACTACAGCATACAGACTAGAGTCAAGGATTCAACTACTTCTCTGGAAACGTGAGCCAGCAACCAGATCCTCTTCTCCAAGTTCACAAATCAAATTTCCCAATGAGCCTGAACTAACCGCTGTGTCTTCCCCTCACTTTTCAGTTCCGGTTGAGCCGTGTTCAGAGCAACACTTCACTCTCTTTTTTACCTCTTCAATAAAACCTGTTAAACCTTTTCCCTGCTCTCCCTGTTCGGTCTTCTGCATTTGGGTCTGAACTTTTGTAAAATCATGACTCTATCTATCTATCTATCTATCTATCTATCTATCTATCTATCTATCTATCTATCTATCTATCTATCTATCTATCTATCTATCCATCCATCCATCCATCCATCCATCCATCCATCCATCCATCCATCCATCCATCCATCCATCCATCCATCCATCCATCCATCCGACTTCTAGTGTTTATGTATGCACTGTGCTTTGGTTTCAGCCATTCATTGTAGTCTCATGTATATCGGAAAATGGCAAAGAGTCTTAAGAGGGAAAACTGTCTTACAAGTGTAAGAGAGGAAGAGGAAGGCCTAGGAAAAAATTAGACAGCAGTGTATTTGGCAGATTCTTATACGCAATGGAGAAAGAGCAGGTAGGAAGACCTTGCACCGGTCCGTTAATTTAAAACATGACTTAGGCATTTTTTTTTACTTCCATATACTTTTAAATAGACAGTTTTTGCTGTAACAAGCATCCAGTTTGGCTCATTTTAAGTAATAATCAAAAACGAGTAGGTCCAGATTCCAAGCAATGGAAAACCCTATCATTAGTTATCACAAAGACCTGGTGGCAGCTGGCACTGCCATGGGTGGATCAAACCGCGCTAAGGCTTAGGCAGATTTGTTTCTTTAACAAATAAAAGTGCCAGATAATGAGCTATTGACAGCTCTGAATGTGAAAAGTAATACTCAAATTAAGGAAAGTAATTAAACACGTACTCATTTAGTTATGTATCACATTACAGCTGTTTCTGTAATTCAGCTAAGTCTTTTTTTATCAGTCTTGGAGGTAACCTACTTAGGTTACAGGGTGGGCAAAATAACCTTAACCTGAAACACAGAAACAGGAAGCTGAACGGCCGCAGAGCTTGTTAGTCAGTTAGCAGAAAACCCACAATCTGCAGCATAGAGGCAGAAACCTTTACCATACAAAAAGCAAGCATGCTGCTGCGGTGCATAAGGGTTCAAATGGGCAAAATCACAATATTTCTAAATCTAACGACTAAAGGAATCTTATTTAGGCTCAGTGGATTATCATTTAGTTTTCAGTAGATTCAAATCTCCATGTATCTGTTATTATTAATGGATTTATTAGTTCATACATTCCTACTCAGACATAACTGAATTACTTTATCTGTGCAAAAACAAACAAAAGTTCAGACCAGGTCTTTGCTTCGGTATGATCCCCGTGCATGTAATCTAGTCATTCCTATAACTCAGTAAAGGATCATCAAACTTTTTATAGTTTCCTTTCAGCCTAACCAAATGCTAAGCCTGAAAACAAACACAAGAAGAAACAAATGTTTACCTTTGCTTAGTTTGCTGTTCTGTTCTTCAGGTTGTGATATTCTAACATCACTATAAGTGATACTTTCCTCCCGAACTTCCTGATCACCTGAAAAAACATTGATTTAATTCAGCAATTAATCCTTTATTCTAAATATGATACAACTATTATTCTAAAATATAAACATTAGCAGACATAAGATGATGATCTCACCTTTGCCTTTTCTATGAATGCAATATTTCACCAGTAGAACCACCAGTACAATCACAACAATGGTACCAACTAGAAACAGAAACCCATAAGGATGAAACTGGTAGGAGGATGGAGAGGTTGATGTAGGCGAAGGGATGGTTGCTGGTGAAGATGTGGAAGATTTCTCTGAAATAAAGGTTTATTAGGTGATGAAGATGTAATAAAGACCCTTAATGTTCAGCACTGAAATATCCCTGCTGACCTTCAACAGAGATCCAGCTGGATGGAGACTCTCCATGACCCCTGATGTTACACCTGTAGAGGCCTTCATCAGAGCGGTTCACATGGTGGAGGGTCATGTGACCTTTGGGCTCAGTCCTGATGAGGGAGCCATCTTTATAGAAAGCAGCTGGGAGGTTGGAGGGAGTGGTCTCTGTTAGACAGCTCAGAGTGACGTCATCTCCCTCCATCACAGGGAGGACAGGACTCTGCAGGATCACTGATCCACCTCAACACAGAGACAAACTACAGCATTTCATCCATTTCCACACAGCTTCATCAACACTAACTCCACAGTCTGATCTTACCAGTGACAGTGAGCTGGATGCTGCTGCTGGCTGCTCCCTCTCTGGACGACCCACACCAGTAAACTCCACTGTCACCTGTGCTCATATAGATCATGTTACAGGTTTGGCCAGTAGGTTTTCCCCATGTACCGTTACATCCGTCTGTCCTCTCCGTCTGTCTTCTGGTTGTGTTCCTCCATACAGTCCAGTTAGCAGAGCTGTTGCCCTCACAGCTCAGAGAAACAGAGTCTCCTCTGAAGAACTGAGATCTGCTGGGACTCACAGTTAGAGACGCTGGAAGGACTAAAATATAAACATAATAAGAACTTCCGCTGTGATTAATAATACAACAAGTCATAAAATCTATTTTTTTTTCAGTTTCCTTTTTTTTGTGTTTTATTTAATGAATATCAATATAACTGAAGTATACCAACCTTTGATTAATGAACAGCATAGGAAGAAGTTCAGAACTGAAGAAAGGTGAATATTTTTCAATTAATAAATGAAGCTAATAAAAAATCTGACAAACAGCATAGCTAAACACATTAAATCCTTTTCTTCTTCTATGCCCCAATTTCTAAACTGTGATTCTAAAAATAAAATGTTAAAAATACTAAACTTAGCAAAAGTTGATCATTACAGATATTAGAAACGTTTCTACTCACAGAACAGCCATGGTAGAGCCGTGCCTCTCATTGTTCCTCTGACAGATCTGACCATTCTTAAGTTTATCTGTTTGCACCAAGCTGAGCCCGCCTACTTCCTCTATGTCATGAGGCTCAGTTTCTGAGCAACAACAAAATGTTTCCATGTGATTAAGGGAAGATATTTAACTAAGAAACTGTCTTTAGATTATTAATAGCAAACAGAATATTGTATTTATATTCAGCAACACTAAATTAAAACATGTTAAAATAATAAGATAATAATAACAAATGGAATAATTTACAAGGCAGTAACTGCTGACCTTAAGGCTTTAGGGAGAAGGGCTGGAGGAGGAACTCAGAGAAGGTTCATGAATGAATAGAGTGAGGAGATCCATCAGGTTGACAAGATAGAGGAGGACGGAAATGAGGATGAGGATCAGCTTTGGTGCCCCCTAGAGGCAGCTGCTAAAAAGATACAAAGAGAAAGTGATTAAAATTAAACAGCTTAAACATTTGTTAAAATATCATGACAATACATATCCAACACAAAGAGCTATTATGTGGAATTTCTCTCAACTTATGAGATTACATTGATGTTCTACAAGCTTCATGTATGTGTATAAATCTGCAGTAGCTGGTATAAACTTGCTTCTATGGGGGAATCAAGGCTGGTTTTGCTATGTTTGCTTGTTCAAATAATGACTTCCTGAAAAGGTAAAAAGGAACACTGGTTTATTTTATTGAAAAAAATGAGATTCAAATGCTTATAGACAATTTAAGAAGAATACAGAATATATTTTAGATGATTTTAGAGTTTACCCTGCAATATTGTAAAAATAACAATAAAAATGTTATTGGGGAAAATCTAAATTGAAAGGCAAAACTTTGACCAATAAGAAATATAGTTCAGGGAGACAGAGGAAACGGAGGCTTTCCAGCAGGGAAGTCATGAGGATGAAGGTACAAAATCCAGTGAAGAAAAGAATCACCCAACACAAAACAAAACAAGTCAAACCAAAGAAAGGGTTGTGTCCAAAAAAAAAGACACCGCCACCAGGGCTCATGGCTCCCGCCACATGGAGCCTCAGTCCCCAAAAACCAAACAGAAACGCTTAGTAAAAGGACTAGAATATTAGAAAAGCACTCTGAGGTTGCAGACCTCCAGCAAGCAGCGAATTTCACCCCATAGTGTGATTTCCACCTACAGGGACTTGCATAAGTATTCAACCCCCTTGAAAGCTTCAGCCTTTTGCCACATTTCAGGCTTCAAACATAAAGATGTAAATTTGTAATTCCTTGTGAAAAATCAACAACAAGTCAAACACAATCATGAAGTGGAAGGAATTTAATGGATATTTTAAACAATTTTAACAAGTAAAACCTGAAGAGTTATGTAAGCAGAATGAATCAGATCCTTTACTTTCAGTGCAGCAAACTCTCTCCAGAAGTTCAGGGATGATCTCTGAATAATCCAATGTTGACCTTAATGACTGATGATGATCAATGGAATCCAGCTGTGTGGAAGCAAGTCTCTGAGTAAAGGCACCTGATCTGTGATAATCTCAGAGGTCTGTTTAAAGCCCAGAGAGCATCATGAAGAACCAGGAACACACCAAGCAGGTCTAAGATACTGTTGAGGAGAAGTTTAAAGCTGGATTTTGATACAAACATATTTCCAAATGTTTAAACATACCAAGGAGCACTGAGCAAGGCATAATATTGAAATGGAAGGAGTATAAGACCACTGAAAACCTAGAAAGACCCGTCATCCCTCTAAATATTCTTGTTCACTCAAATAAGGAGGTCAGAGATGCAGCCAAGAGGCCCATGTTCACTCTGGATGATCTACAGCTGAGGGGGAAGACTCTCCATTGGACAACAATAAGCCATATACTGCACAAACCTGGACTTTATGGAAGACTGGCGATTTCTTAAACATATCCATAAAAAGTCTTGTTTAAAGTTTGTCTCAACCCACCTGGAAGACATGTGGACGAAGGAGCTCTGGTCAGATGAAACAATACCAAACTTTTTGGTAGCAATGCAAAACGCTATCTTTGGCGTTAGCAACACAGCTCATCACCCTGAACACGACATCCCCATTGTCAAACATGGTGGCGCAACCCTGATAGAGACAAACCCTGCGCGACTCGCAGCTTAAATCACTGCAAATGATGGTGCCACACAGTATTAACACGGCTACATAATTTTACAGTCCCAATTTTTATGTTTTCTGTTTGTTAAAAAAGCTTAAAATACCCCATGGGTTTCATTTCCTTTTAGGATTGCGTCTAACTTCTTGATTCTTCAAAAATAATTACAATTTTAGATCTTTATGTTTCAAACTAGGCTGCATGGTGGTGCAGTTTGTAGCACTGTTTAATGTTCCTGGTTCTCCTTGTTCATGCGTGGGTTCTCTTTAGGTACTCCATATATCAAACAGAGTGGCACAGCAAGATGTCACAACAACAACAGTGCAAATACAGAATGAGCCTAAATAATATTTAAGACTACTTGTGTTGCCCACCTGCTAGCTTATTGTAGCAGACACATAAGCAGGTTGACATAAATGATTTTAGCCAAACAGCTGTAACATAAAATATGTGCATATGGAGAGGATAAACAG